AAAATGTGTAAGAACCACTCTTATTACTTACATATAGTTAAAGTAATCAGTTTAACATTATAAAGCTATATATTGTTAAAAGAAAGTCGAGTATTCAAGTCTAAGTTAAACTAAAACCATACATAATATTTAGATAATAAAATGTATTGACATTAATGAAATGTCATGAAAATTAACTTGTATGTTGCAAAAATATCATAAGAAATATCGTAATTCTGTTAATAGTTTTATACTTTATAAAACAAAGATAATTTCCAATGTAAAATATAACATGTTGCTCTCGCATGAATAAAACATAAATGATGTAATTAAATAATCATACAATGTATAATACAATCTAAAACATTATATGATATATCCTTAGCATGGTAGAACTTCTCGCAGTTTCTATATCAAACAGCAAAAATCAAGACGGTCCATTTTTGTGAAATATATAATTCAGTTTCAAAATAAGTATCTTGTTTAATAAGCTTTTTCAGTCCGTCAATTAGCCAGCAATATTCTCGTTAACAGGGACACAGAAAAGTTGATTCTCATCGACCTCGAGAAGTCTCGTTTGACCACAAAAAAAAGGTGAGGTTATAACAACGCCCTCTGATAATAGCAACGATACTAGTACCAATTTTCTGTAACACGAGACACAATAATTTATATCCATACGTATTATTATTACTGACCGTATATAAAAATGTATAAAAATTATTTAGTATAGCTTTTAGTGTAGGTTTACGATAATTGTACGGTTGTACATGATATTCTAATCTAATACTGTTAATAATGTATAAAACTTATATTTCCATTAAACTTATAATTCCATTAAAAGATGTAGTTCTGTAATAATTTATATAGAATAATATATTAATGGAACACTTCGTTTTTTTAAGAATATTCTTCCTACGACTACAATCTTATAGAATATTTTTAAATAAACTTTGTGTAGTGTATTATGTAGTATATTATGTAGTATTATGAACTAAAAATCATTATACTTAACACATAAACATTACATCTTAGTATAGCTTTAAAATCATAATTAATGTATAAACATTTCTACTTGATAATTAAATTAATTAAATTACAATTTCAACTACGTAGACACAATAATATTTCGATTTTATATTGCGTTTTATATTTTATGAATGAAAACAAAATAATACTTTTTTATGATGCACACGACAATATAATACTCTTGCCCAGAATGATAACAACTATTAAAAAGGCAAAGAAATAAAAGTAAAGCATGTTACGCAGCTTATACTTCATCCTGCAAACTACAAAGATTCTAATCTCTATGATCAGTCATAACGATTATACTAGGTTCTAGGATAGTGCTGGAGGCAAAAAATCAAAATCATATCTAATATGAAGACAGAGAAGTAACGTAATGCAAGGGTTAAAATAGAAAGTTCAAGTTGGCCAGCCCGTGGCATCACTCATCCCGCCACTCGGAGTGGTAATTAATTTCACGATAATTAGCGGCGATGTGGCCAGCTAGTCCGGCTGCTGTGGTCCAAGAATATAATTACGGAATAAATTCTCCAACCAAAGGTTCAAGGTAATAAGGCCATTATCAACGTTCTGGAAAATATCCCTTTTCTCTCCCGTCCTTTTATTCACCATTATTGCCACTTCTCATGTTTCTTCATTGTACTTTGGACTTTTACCTTATTTCACGTACGCGAATGAAAACAATGCTTTTTTCTTTATTTATTAATCACCTATAATGGCGCTATTGCTCCCCGATATTGCTTTCATGATAATATGCTTTTATTGTACTATGGAAAATTCGCTGCATTTAAAAATCTTATTTTATACAGAAATCAGATATAAAACAAGAAAATGCAGGTGCATAGAGAAATATGACCAGTATATACATCATTAAATACAATTAAAAATAAAAGAAAATGCAAACCTGATTACATCTTTCGTTCTACCTACCTATTTCATGTTTTCTAAACATCAACTAATTGATAACGTCAGCCAAATTAAAAATCCCAAATATTTAAAAACAAAATATTTCAATATATTTTAAATATTTAAATATATCAACAATAGACAATTTATTATACAATTATTTTAATCCACTGATTAAGCGAAAATTCCACACAACAAAATTGAAAATGTATGTTAATGCCTCTGCACTATAATCAGCGAAAATTAATATTTTGATTCCCACGTAAAGAAGCGTCGTGTTTCTTGAAATAGGTTGCCATATCAAAAGAAGCTCTACAAGAAATGTTAATGATAGGACCTTCAACTTTGCGGTTGCAAATTTGTCGTACAGTAAGCATTGATATGAACGAAAAGTACACGACAGCCTCGTAAGTCTTCGTTGGGATCCCTGCGTTTTGCCTTGGGGTTCCTTGAAGAAGAAATTGAACTCTGTATGAAGACAAACTCTTCCCACATGTAGAGAATAAACTACCTGACGATAATTAATCCCAATCAGGATTTTTGCCTTAATTCTGTAATTCCTTTTACACAATAACTAAATCAACAGAAACAACTAGAGCAAATAATAAACTACTTTTCTTTAAAACTATTTCTGATTTCTTCTATCTTCATTATAATACTTGTATGCTTTCTATAATATAATGTTATACATATATAATTGTTCGTAAGTTTCTTTCTATATATATGTATTTCCTTTTTGTCCAACTGTAAGTATTTTATCAGTTACGCTAAAGTTTATTTATTCTAAACACTTTTTAAAAATTGCTTCAATACTATCTGACAAATCAAAAAAAACAATTTCTACATTTTCTCACTCTATGCAAAATTACAAGTTAACTTCTACACTAAATCTTTTAGAACAGAGAAAATGTTCAATAAATTATTTAAATAATAAGTATAGATTTAATTTCGCTTTTTTTTATAAATGTAGGATTAACATTTTCATTTTTTCGATTGGAATGATGAATCTTTCTCGTGTGTAATTCCCTAAAGCAGATTATAAATCCTGCAATTCATTTTATTTAAAATAGCTTGAACATATCTCTATAAAGCCAAATAATAAGGAAACCAAATAACATATCAGTTTCGATATTTCCTGAAATTTGTGCAACCAGTTGGTCTTATCGAATATTATCGATGCTACACGAGTACCTCGGTACAACTTAGTTTAAAGCGTCAAAGCATCCTTTATCTGTCGGAATCCAACGTCAGACGACATTTGGGCGTCGGATATTTATCACAGACTCCACGCACGCTCCGCGCACAGGGAGAACGTCCAGTGGCCCTCAAGTGCCCCTTATGCGTCGGTTTTTCAACACAGAAAAAGATAGACACGCATAGACGGAAAGAGAACGATAAGGGGAAAGAGATAGAAAAAAAGAGAGAGACGGAGCGCCGGTAAAAGAAAAAAAAAGAAAGGAACAGGGCATATACCTGTTCCACGCGTGAGCGCACACACACAACTCACACAATCGTAGGACCAC